TGAACTATGGTTCACAAAAAAAGAAGAGAACAAAAAAAGTAAGCTATGGTTAATAAAATATAGTGGGTTGGGTTAATAATTTGATGATTGAATTATTAAGTTAAAAGTATTTTTGACAATTGATAGAGAAAAAGTGTCTTGGTGTAGGAAAATGTCTATATTATATATTATTTTCTAAAAAGTGTCTATAATAGTAACTCACTCAGTGTTTTTTTTTTGTTTAGCAAAAATCAAGTGTATTTTTTAATCAAAAAACCTATCGGAGAGAAAAAAAAAGAGAGAAATCTTTTTCACAAACTCGGATCTCTGTTTTTTTTTTTTAATTTTAGAGATTAAAAAATCTCATATGGGTCCCGAAACCCGATCGGATTAAGCCCAAGTAGAACAAAAATCCAAACAGAACTACCCGATTTAGATCTAGATATTTTTAGTGGTTAAAAACGGATTTTTCTACGTGAAATATTTTGTGGGTTTCCGGTACCCATTAGACTACTACCCAATTATGCTCCAGCCAACTACGAAACAAGAGTATTATCATATTACTTCACTTGAAATTTAAAGCAAGAGTATTCAAGTTGATCTGAAAAAAAAAAACATTTCAGCTCAACTGTTGATCAAATTGTTAATATAAAAAAAAATCATTTTCAAATTATAGGAAATATCCAAGAAATTGGGTTTAGAAAAACTTCCAAGAATGGTGGATCCTACATGATAGTTACGTCTGTGGTGGTTCACATTATCTCCATGAAAAGATAACTTAAATTCCAACACTTGCTAGTGTGAAGCCTCTTTGTTTAATTCGTACGCTCTATCTCTTAAAAGCTCTGTATCTTAGATCTTCTTTCTATCGTAGCAATGGATTTTTACCTTTTTCTTGGAACTGTTGTTGCTTCAATCTTTACGCTTTCGTGTTCAATAATTTATATGGTTTATGGAAAGTTCAGAGTCCAAGAAAACAATTCAATTGTTTCTCCTTCATCTTCTCCATCTCTTATTTGTCAGAGTCAAGCAATGG